GATGTCATGATGAATCGCGGCTGCCGATGTGGACCGCGAAAGTTTCCCTTTCTTTTCTCCACCTTTGTGCGATGAGCCATCTCGATGGCGATGCGATGGGAATGTTGGTGCTCAAATTTTGCAGGCGATTCTGCTCAAGATCGTGTGTTGTCGCGTCGTCGCGTGACGCGTGCGCGTGAACACGGGGTATGACATCACCAGCCCTTCGCATGGCTCTACCCAACTTCGACACGCATTTGCTCGTGCTGATGCCTCTTTCTCGGAGGTACCGTCTCGACATCATGCAGCAGCACCTTTTCAGGCCCGTTCTAGCCGCATCAAAGAAGCTCGGTCCGACGAAGCTCTACAGCCTCCCCACATTGAATGACTGCTTTACCATCTCGATCAAATATTCCGGGCTCGTTTGGCTGACCTTGACTGGACAGCACAAGCTTCAAGATCATATCAGCCAGCTCTTTCGGAAGTTTCTTACCCACAACTCGATACACGTTGAGCTTCGTCTCAGTGTACGCATGTCTCTGTAGAAGATCAAGTACCACCGCAGTATTAACACGTACACATCCTCTGCCTCTTCCTATTCGAGCGCTTTCTCTAGACGTGGAAATGTGATCGCAGAGGTGGTGATAGTGATTGCAGAAGCGGCGAATAGACTGGCAAAGGTAGGCTGCATCGGGCTGTCGTGCTTGCGCGTCACCATTGTCTCTGCGAAGAGCTTTGCGCTGTCGCTTTTTCGACTGCAGAATGTTTCTCACTATTCCATCGATTTGACGATTCGCGTTCTGATGAGCCTCGTTGGAGAAGAATGGAGAAGATCCATGCAGGCAGTCGAGTTTCGCATAGACGCAAAGGTCCAGTGCTGCTAGCTCGCCGTCCTCGGCGACAGTAATGTGTTCAATCATGGCCAGCATTCGCGGAAAGAAGACGGTTCTGAATACATGCTGATGTCTCTCCAAGCGCTCATTCTGAGAGTAGATTTTCGAACGATGCAACGCCGTGCGCATCCTGTCTTTGAGATAGCCAGTGCAGGCTTTGGCGTTCCGTGGTGGATGTGCTTGAAGTAGCGCTAAGAAATCTTCATGTATGATATCTGTGGTTACGCGCAACGAGTAAGCAGAGCATCGTTTGCGCAAAGTAGCAACACACTCACCAACGGAAAATGGATCTTCATTAGACTGTCCATTGCAAGAAGACAGCAGCAGTTGTTCGAGCGTTGGAGCATCGAGGGAGGCAGTCCCACGTAACTGTCTGAAAGGCTGCCATAACTTGAGGTTGAAAGCACGATAGGCAACAGACTTTCGAAAGGTGTAAGGGATTCGCTGCTTGCTGACGTCTAGCTCTTTTTGCGTCGGGCCCCAGGTTGGCGTCATCGTCCCGACTAACTGTTCGTTTATGGGTATGTATACACCCATTATTTTCGGCGCGTGTTACATCGAACTTCGACCAAAGTGTATGTAGCCAAGTATGGGTGGTGGTGAGATTTTAGCACGACCCTTGATCGTGGGCGCCGACCGTGCCGCAATGCTGCACAGGGCAACTAAGCTGACTTGGGACTCCTTGATGTTTCACCCCGCAAAGCCTTACATTTGTTGCAACGTCTTGTTGCTGGCCTGTGAAGGCTATATTGAGAGCAGTGCTGCGTTGTCGATACAAACAGCGGGGTATGGGCTGTCGTCACGCGCGCTAGCTTAAATGGCAGCCAGTAAAGTTAACATTAACAGACCATAATGCATGCGCAACTCGGGGTACCTAGTCCAAACGATAAACTTTGTGACCGCTCAAAGCCAGCCTATGTTATCAGCAGATTACGGAACTGGTAGTCGATGACTATTAGGTATATTGAATCTGAACTGGACCTGTCTCACACTCGCGGCTTCCACCTTGCCACCAACCTACGGCCAATCATAGTGAGCTCATCTCAAATGATCTTCGCTTTGCCAGTTGACGGTTCATCCTCCTGTGCTATCGCACCTTCAACCCCATCGCCCTCAACCTTTCCTGGCTTCGAGAAGGCAGCACCAAGAAGATGAATCGGGTTGTTCATCCTTGACATCATAAGATAGAGCAGAGTAAGTCCTGTGACAACAACTTCGTCTCTCAGAGCCTCTGTAACCTCCTCTTCTGTCTTCTCAAAATAGAAGTTGCCGACTTGCTTCATCGCCCATAAATTGACGCTGAACTTGGCGATAGATTCCTGGGTCGCGGAGTTTATGCATACGAAATCCCAGACTTTCATGGTAGAGTTGGCTGTCCAGGTGATGGGAACGCCATCGAGCGCCTGCGAGAGATAGTTGTATTTGGTCTTCCAGCGTTTCAGTGGCTTCAGAATGACTTCTTGGCCATGAATGATGCAATCGCCACTGATTGAGAAACTGTCTAAACGTCGGAGTAGTGAGTCAGAGTGTGTCTTACATGTAGTACAACCAAACTTACGGACGGTGCCTTTGGCGATGATTGCGTGATCTGACGCGCGCTCGAAGCGCAACTGAGGCTTTGCCGGGCGAAAATGCTGAACGTAGAGCGGCGCGAGCTGTTGATCAGGGCCTTTAGAAGCTACTATGTTGCGGAACTTTGACCAGGCAAAATCGACTTGGAGAGTGAGACCGCTTGAGGATAGAGGGCCCGTGGACCCAACGGGCTCAGCGGGCTCAGCGAGCTCTTGCGATGCCCTTTTTGGCGGTTGAGAAGTGTTGGGAGGGAGTTTAGTATGGGTGAACATGATGTGCTAGTAGATGCCTGCTTTTTCGATGTTCGAATATGGAAGAAAGCAGTAAAACCGCGACTGTCGTTATAAATTTGAAAATTGTTAAAGCGCGGTCACTCGGAGGTGGTCAAACGGTGAGGTGAAGGTGAAGACGCGCACTTTGGAGAAGGGAAATGCAAACGCGCACTAGAGGTGATTTCGATGTGCGTGATATATGTATTGGAGTTTTCGTAGTGTAAACATCGTGCGTTTGTGTGCCTTGCCTAGCCACTCTTCTGGCTTTGGACGCCTGACCATGCCTCAATATTTCTTAGAATGGAATAGTGCTTAGCAGCACACGGCGATGTAATACAGCGCAGCACATCTTCAATACCGATAAAAGTATATGGGATGTCTTGCGAAGACACAGCTGAGGTGGCGCAGAATGTCGAAGTCTGATCTTGGTGTCGCTAAAAACTATCTGTATGGACAGGTCGTTGGACGAGGAAAGAGGCTGGGAGTGCAGTGGCAGGTGGGCCCACTTAAGTGAGATGTCGTCATAGCTCACGGCCACCACTCCGTCGACACCCACACCCCACTCAGCATGTCAGCATCTCCACGCTCGCAACGAGAAGAACGATTCTCAGTGTGCTATACGGCAGGTTGTGAAAGAGTTATGAAGATCATGGGGCGCCTATCAGCCGTAACGCATACCGTCGGTCAAAGCAGCCCAAGCGCGGGGGATGCACCGCGGACAGGAATTACTCTCCCCAGCACTCTCATCCGGCTATCAACCAGTATGGCACACTGACCTGCTCGCAGGTATCGCATCGGTTTCAATACACCTCGGAATCCTTCATACCAAGAAAGGAGCTTATCGACTATGCTGCATGACGCCGCCTCTTCCAGACTTCGACCGGCGTCATTACTCCACGCGAGGAAGATCTTCAGCAGGTATCGTGAGTAACTCAGTGGGATGTCTTCCGCGGACGGCTCAGACAGCAGTTTCGAGGCGGCTTCGAAGCGGCTCGCTTCTAACGCTGCGCTGTTTGAGTGAGTCGGCAATACGGCAACAGATGCCCTCTCGCAGTGCGAACCACAATTCTCGATCACTAAAACACACCAAACGATCGTGGTCTCACAGATTAATCAATGATGTTAGAGTACTTGGCTGTATCGCCGGGCGCACTGAGCCTCCATCCCGCTCGCGTCAAGGGATAGTTACCCGCATGATGTGCAGCGCGGCAACAGAGAGACCCAAGTATCGCCCAGTTCTGCCAACAAAGTTGAGTGCTTCTTTTAGCTGGGCCTATCGCGCGTCCAGAGAAAATCAAAATGCTGGGCGATACTCATAATCTCCCACGCCTGCAATGGGTGACGATTACTGATGATGCTCGTGCGGACGCGTCCCCAAGCCAAGTGTCGATCGGGATGCCACAGCTGCAGGATAAAGATCTGCAAAGGAGGCTCTGCTGTTGCGTTGTCGCAATGCACAACATCACTACTGGGTGTCGCGCTTTCATTGCCTAGCAGGGTTTGTTCTGTATTTGGCACAGCGGACTTGGCGGACTTGGCAGGGAAACTCTGTGCAGGGCCACTAATCTCCGCCAAATCGAGAAGCCCATCGGCATTGTCATGTTGAGACGCTTGCCGAGCCGCAATGCTCACAGCCGGACAAAGGAACCTGCGCCGTTCTGTGTTCCTCATTTTCGCCAATCACCGCGTACAAGGTCAACCTGTCTCAATAGCTCCTGTGTCTCAACCTTGAACGTTTCCCCGACGTCCACAGGTGTAACATGACAGGGTCAAAGGGAGCCTTAAGGCGGAAAGTCCCACACGTCGCGTTCGAAGCTAGCGCTACAGGTGAGCTTGGCACCATCCGCCATAGCCCATTCACCGCTTGGCTCCGGTCGTAAGCCTCCTAATGGCGGGAGTGGCTGCTAAGCCAAGAATGTCCTGGCGGCTGCTGTTTCAAGTCAACGAAGTGCATTGTGTCCGTGACGCGTGTAAAGACGTGAAGTAATAAGGCTCAGCACCCAAGAACTTGGAAATCGAGGCTGGCATTCCCTATCACTGCGCTCGCAATTCTCTCCGAACCAGTCCGGGAAATCCCTCGTTCTCCATCTTTTTGCACTTGCTTATATTGGTTTTAATCGACTTGTGAATACGGCTGGTCTGCTATTTACAGTTACTCACTCCCGCTGGTCGTCTTCATTCCACACCCTTTTTTCTCAACCCTTTCCGTTGTTCCTTCCCGCGCATGAATCCTTGAAAACACTCCTTCCGTCTTTTCCGCTTTTCGCCTACAGGGCTCTTCACCATGCCTTCCCTCGATGTTAGCGAGCTTAACATCGTCATCGCCGTCCTAGGTACGTTCGACAGGCTAATCTCGATAGGCAGACACTGACGTTCGAGGGCAGGCGCTTTCATCATTCTATACGGCTTCATCTCAGTCAAGATCAAGCAAGTGTGGTATCTTGGTGAAGCTTGTAAGTACACAACCGACCGACGCAGCGCCGTCAATTCTTGAAAGCATTGAACTCATTCTTTACAGTGCCTGCCGTTCTTATCGGTGTTATCCTAGGACCGATAGCTGCCAGATTCCTAGATGCGGAGAAATGGGGTTCTGCTGCCCAAGGGCAGCAAGAAGCCATCACACTGGTGAGCGCGAAATCACAAAACTCCAATATTGAACCCTGCTGACCATCATATAGGGTATGTGCCGAATCGTCATCGGTGTGCAGCTGGTCATCGCTGGATTCCAACTCCCTGCCAAGTACCAACAAGCCCGGTGGAAGGAGATGGCGATCTGCCTTCTCCCTGTGATGACAATCATGTGGATCTGCACTAGCTTGTGCATTCTCGTCACAGTTCCCAAGCTTACATTCTTGGCTGCGCTTGTTATCGGATCTTGCGTTACTTGCACTGATCCTATCTTGTCGCAAGCAGTAGCCAAGGGTCCCTTTGCTGACAAGTTTGTTCCTCGCGCGCTGCGAGAGATCATCTCGTCGGAGGCTGGTGCCAACGATGGTTTCGGTTTCCCTTTCCTGCTGTAAGTCCAACAACCTCCGACACAAGAAGCTTCGCTGACGAGTCGGACAGTTTGGCTACATACCTCATTCGCCATGCCGAACTCGATGGTGTCGAGTTTAAGACCGGCATAGAAGGTGCCAAGGAAATCGCTCATCGGGCAGTCAACATGCTCTCCAAGCGTAGCGAAGAGGGAGTTGGTCGTCTCGGTGGCGGTGTCCCGATGGCCATGGAACAGTGGATTGTTGAGGGATGGCTGTACATCATCGTCATGTCCGTTGCAATCGGTGTCATCCTCGGCGTCGCCAGTATGTTTGCCGTCAAGTTCGCCCTGCGCAAGAAGTGGATCGACTCCGAGAGTCTTCTGCTCTGGCCTATGGCTCTCGGCTTGTTCACCATTGGCGTTTGCGGTGCGCTCGGTACGGACGACCTCCTCGCTTGCTTCGTCGCCGGAAACGTCATGAACTGGAATGGAGTCTACCTCGAGGAAACCGAGAAGCGTCATGACGAGGTCAACAGCTGTTTCGATGTCATCCTCAACTTCGGTGGTTTCATGTACATCGGAACCATCATCCCATGGGCCGAGTTCCAGATGCCAGATGTCACCGGTATCACCATTGGAAGGCTCATGATTCTTGGCTTCCTCATCCTCGCTTTCCGTCGTATTCCAGCCATCTTCCTGATGTACAAGGTCATGCCCAACGTCGTCAAGGACTGGAAGGAGGCGCTGTTCATGGGTTATTTCGGACCCATTGGTAAGTCGCCTCGACCCTTTCTGATAGTAACATGAACTGACACTTGTCAGGCATCGGAGCCGTCTTCTACGTCGAGCACACTCGTCACCTTTTCCCCAAGCCAGGCGAGGCTGAGACTGAAGAGGAAGAGAACCTTGTCGCAGCCATGATTCCAGTCGTCTACTTCCTCGTCATCTTCTCCATCGTCGTTCACGGCCTTTCCATCCCCGCCCTCGATGCTTTTTACCGTTACAAGAAGATCCCAGCGATCGAAGAGTCTGAGCCCGCGGAGATTCGCGTACGATCTATCCACGAGGCCCTTCCTAAGAACACCAGGATGGACTCTAAGCGCGGCTCGGTCTACCAGCACAACCGCTTCTCTCGCCCAGTTTCCATGGGTCCAGGCCCGGAGCTGTACAGGTGGAACAACCAAGTCAGGGATAGCGAAGCCACGTTCAGGTCAAACTCCCAGGTTCAAGCTGTGGATTACGCAGAGAAACTGCAAAGTATCCGGTTCCAGGAAGACTATGCTCATGAGAAAGCAAACTTGGGCCGGTAGATTGGTGTGAGCTGGGACATTTGACATGTCGCACTTCCGAGTGGCCAACCCTATCACTGGTGGAAGGCCTGTCAAGGGGCAATTAGAGAATCCGGTACGCGCCAAGGGTCAAGCAGAGGATGCGCGCAGAAGGAAGGAGAGTCGTTAGAATGGTGTATTGGATGGATCGCTCATTTTAGGATTGGAACACAATCAGGGTTGCTCCCTATCGTTTACCATGCTTTTTGTCACTCGTTTAGACCTGTACAACATAGACTGACGTTGAATTACGCGTATTTGTCCGCACGCCAGTCCCAGAACTACGCTTAATGCCCACCCTCACCACCAGCTCTCAAGTGCAAACTTCAAAGTCGTCACCACAATCCGCACGATAACATCAACGCAAGAATCCGACGAGACCCCAAGCTTCAAGACCCAGTTCCCCAGACCCAGATGTCAGGCCCATTCCCCTGTCGTTCACTGCCCAATGCGAGACAAGCCAAGAACGCCGCGGTGGAATCGCCAAGCCGTCATTGCCGTGTTACCCGTGCCGGTTTTCCGCTGTCCCTGTCACTTTCCTCCCCTTAACGCCCTCGCTCCCCGGAAAGGTTATCCATACAGTTTGAGTGTCAGGACTTCATTCTCAAACGTCTTGGGAGATTCAGTCTTTGTTCCCGATGAAAGAGGAGGTAATAATATGGAGATTATGTGTAGGTGCTAAATTGGGTATGGCGTGCGCTGCGCTCCGTTCGGTCCGACTCCAGGTTTCCGCTCCGCGACGAGTGTACGGAGGTGGTGGGTGTGAAGGGGGGGTTAGGGAAGGCTGTCGGAGTGAATTGGGGATGATTTGGAAGATGGTAGGCCGATGGGACACCTTGTCTCGCCATTTTCATCTCTTTCCCATGTCCGGAACCTCGAGCTGCAGGGCTCGCTGATGCTGTGCTTTTCCAGCCAATGGCGACGAATGGCGATCTTTACCGCAATGGTCGGTGTCGCTTTATCATCACTGGGTTTGTCAGCTCTATCACCAACTATCGGATGGAAAAGTCCTCTGTGCTAGAGCATGCGAATATAAGGTATGGCGACATATTTCTAGATTCAGTTCTGTCAGCTGTCGTCATGTCGGGGAGATTGTCTCCATTGCAATTGGCATGTTGCATTGGTAATGTCAGGCATTCGATGTGTATCGGCTATAGCACTATGACCATCGTACTGAGAGTTTATGGGCGATACGAGATTGATCGTGAAGTCGGCTTCGGCTATATGTGAGAGGTATACAGCACATTGATGTAGTCCGCAGAAACTCCAACAAAGCCATTCAGTTTCACTCAAAATGTCACCAATCCGCGTTGCTCTTGTTGGTTTATCGTCGTCTGCAAAGGTTACCTGGGCCGCAGACGCTCATCTCCCCTATCTCCTCTCTCCTCGTGGCAAGAAGCACTACCAGCTTGTCGCTCTCCTCAACTCCTCTACTCAAGCCGCAGAAGCAGCAAAGAAGACATTCGCACTTCCCGAAGACGTAAAAGCATATGGCGACCCAAGCACCATCGCGGAAGACCCAGATATCGATCTCCTCGTCGTCTGCACCCGCGTCGATGTACATTCCTCCGTCGCCGAACCGAGCCGCAAAGCAGGGAAAGCAGTGTACATTGAATGGCCGGTGACGCAAGACCTTGCCAGCACAGTACACCTTGCAGAACTTATACATGAACCGCGGAACAGTATCATCGGCCTCCAAGGACGGGTCGCCCCAATCACCCTTCGGCTCAAAGACTTGCTAGCCGCAAATACCATAGGGAAAGTACTTAGCAGCCAAGTCCGCGCTTTCGGCAACTTGGTACAGCGAAACGCTCTCCCTGAGTCTCTGGAGTATTTTGCGGATAGAAAGGTGGGAGGACATCCGATCAATATCCATTATGGCCACATGATCGACTACGTGCACGAGGTACTCGGCGGATGGGAAGAATCTCATACAGAAATGCAAATTCAGCGACCGAATCTGAAGCTCCTAGGAGCTGACGGGAGTATCAACAGGGCCGTAAAGACTGATGTACCCGATCTGATATCTGCACACGGTACCCTCAATACTGAGAAAGGCGTCACAGTACTCGGAGCCACACTTGCAGCTTCTTTCCGCCTTGGCCAGTCGTTTAAAGGCGAGCCCGGGTTCGTGTGGTACATCGCTGGCGAGACGGGAGAGTTGCGTGTTACTGCGCCAGGTCCTTATCTCATGTCTGGTGACTCTTATGATGGCCCTATCTCGATTCAGCACCACGATTACGCGACTGATGAGGTGCGCGATTTGGGCTGGGACTGGCCAGAGTGGCAGAAAGAGTTGGGTCTTCGCGCGAGGAGCGTGGCGGAGGTATATGAAAGGTACGCGGAGTGGATTGAAGGCGGGATGGAGACGGTGGTCGAAGGGAGAGAGTGGCCGAACGTAATGGATGGGATTGAGTTGATGAAGGAGTTCGATGATATTTACAAAGAGTTTGATGGGGTGTGAGGCGAGTTAATTCATCAGGTCATATGTCGGGATCCAGACATGGTCTTAGTCAATTACAGTGTGTTAAAATATTGCGCAACTGGATGTCATCAGAAGTGCTGAGTGACCTTTTGATGTGTGATAATGCACTGAGCGATCTGGCACGCACAAATAACGACGACTGGTCGACTGACAGTTGTGTATCATGAAATTCACGTATGATCATAAATTCCAGACGGCATCAAGCGATTATATGCCCTGTTCTCCTTTGGCAACCACCACCTCATTTCAAGTTGTGTCGCTATCTATTGTATGTCGTGCCAGCTGGCAGCTCTACCGGTGCCCTATCGGCCGGCACTTCCGATACAGGACTGACCGCATATCCGTATTTCTCAGTTGCCGGTCCCTGCGTATACGCCTGATTCGAGTCCATTTCGCTAGGAGAGCCGGCTGGGTACGTAGGCGCGGTGTGCGCATTTGCCGGCTCGTATGGATTCCGCTTGCCATTCTTCTTTCTGCGCCAGAAGAGAAATCCAGCCAGACCGAGTAGAGCGAGTCCACCGACTATCCCACCGACCAGGCCGCCTATCGCGCCGCCTGAGAGACCCGACGCTTTGTCCTTTGTCGCGATTGGTGAAGGGGGCGAGGCAGCTGTTGCTTGTGCTCCTCCAGACGGCGAGGTGGTAGCAATGGGTTGTCCGGGTGCGCTCGGAGTTGCTGACGATGCAGCTGCGGTGGTTGGCGCAAGTGCTTGTAGAGCAGACAAGCTGATCGCGTACGTAGGGGCGGAAGGTCGAGCCGCTATGAGAGATTGCGCTGTTTCGTTTACGGCGGTCGCATTGAGGGAAATGAGGGGGTTGTCTAGTTTACTCCAGCAGATGTTCGTCTGGTCTGCTGTTTCCGTGCACGTCTCGCTAGGTCTTGTCAGCTACATGCGCAACGTTTGGTATTGCGGCGTTGAGAGATCTGCTCACCTTGACTTCAAGCAGCAAAAGGTATTGATGCCAGTCGAGCAAGCTTGCTGACTGCCCGAGGGCGTTCTCTTGTCTCCTCCATCGCAGTCTGAACTAGGTCCCCAACACACAGCATCTGTACTCCCTGGTATGCAGCAATAATACTTCTCCGTGCGATCATCGAAGGCGCAGACCGATGGCGCGTCACATCCGAATGAAGATTTAGGACATGCCTTCAAGTCGCCAATTCCTACGTTGCCTGCGAAGAAAAACTCGGTGAATGCGCCACGCACTGGCAGCGTGGTTGCGAGGAGCAGACAGACTGTCGACAACATCTCCCCGCGTGTTGGATGGAGCGCGTGTTGAGTATGGGAATGATTTGTGGAGTGCGACCGTAGGCGTGGAAGTGATCGTCTACAGCATTATGAGAGAACGGTGAGCCTTTCGGCGAATTTCCTTCGCTGTGGAGATGTTAGGCCACCCATCATTCCATAGCCACGACATGCCGTGCCCAAGAAGCCGGGGGCTTGCGTCCAGACACGAATCACGTTGTGTTGGTGCCTTGGGTCGGCGACGTGAGAGGCAGTGTCGGCGTTATAGCCATAGCGCGACCTCGCTGCTTATCGTTACTGCATGTGGTCCATGGCTAGCTTTGAAGGCCCGGATCGCAAAGTTCTACACGTAGGAGGAGAGACAAGGCGCATGCTTGGAGGTCGATGATCGAAAAAATGTGCCAGTAACTGATTGGCAAAGAAGCTCACGTCGAGGGTGTGTAGCTCGTGGAAGCCGGCGGTTGCGACGAAAAGGCGTCGAAAGTACGGCGCGTGCGTGCCGCGTGGTAATATCGGCATCTTCCGAGTCATCCCACATGAGTCGCGAGCGCGCATCCCCTCATCTCGAGGTCTCTTCCCCACGTACAAATACAAAATCTCGCCGCCAGCCACATCTTCAAGTTTTGAACAGCATGGAAGTAGAAACTCTGGCTTACACATCAAAAGAGACTTGTGGACTCGCTGCTTGGAGTGAGAGTCTTGGGCTGCCTTGGGTACCTAGGTAGCCTCGTCTATTGACACCAAACATGGTGTCAATCCTGGGCCCTCGCATGGTGCATACCAAGTAACAGATAATCAAGGGAGTAGGAGTGCAACAGAGTGCCTTGATTATAGAGTACAACTGGCCTGCTTGTCGGCTGGAACAGGTACTTCAGGGGGGTGCCACAGTGCCGATACGTCACTCATGGCATTTCACAATTTCAACATTCGCATAATGTCAACTTTGAGCCTGTAACGCAAATAGAGTGCGTAGGAAAGAGAATGCCGTGCTACCTAGATATCGAGCCACCATTTGTGGGATGTCTCACGAGGCAGACTCCCGAAGTCTTGTGCGTGAACAGGGGCCGCCTACCCGTACGATGATCTCGCCGTTTGTGCCAGCACTGTACTCCTACCTAGGTATCATGAAGTATCAAGAGGCGACCATGCAAATACGACAAGGGGTTTTCTTCTAGCAGCATAGCCTGCGTAGGGTAGTCGCTACCAGAATGTACTACAGTCCTACGTAAGTTGAGGAAATGAAGGGCAATATCC